TCCGGATTAGAGCCTCCCCCCCCCCCCCACCCCAAACATTTAAAAAACCTTAATGTCTTCAAACTTTTTGAATGGTCTGTAAGATTAAAAATGTTTGTTTTTTTAATGTTCAAAAATAATTTTAAGTAATTTTCAGCAGCCATTGGTCTAGACATAATCGTCACATGATCCTTCAGAAATTTATTTATATGCTGATTTTGTGCTCAAGAAATATTTCAATTACAGTAGCATTACTTATTTTAAAATGCAAATAATTCAAATAATACAACTAGAACGTACCTCTATGTTTTCTTAATTTGTGAATTAATGTCAGGATGCTACAACTGATCTGATATCATAATGAAGAAAAAATCCTAATAAAATAATTGAGTGAATGTAAGATTTTTTATATATAAATAGATTTTTAAAAAACATGTTTTTCCATTTTTATTATTTGTCATTGACCATGTTAACAGAGAACATACTGTAGCATTTTGTGTTATACAGGAGCTGATGTTGCTTAAATAAAGGGCATTGTTGTAAGTTCTTTCTTCTTAATTACATTTTTAATTATTTACTTGAACATTTAGATGACGATTCAAAGCATTTACTTATTCTTCATTATATCTTTGCAATTGAAAATGACAACAACAACTACAATGTTCTTCTCCCTGACCCTGATGGAGGAGCTCTATGCTCAGTGACTGTGGAGTGAAGTAGGGTTGGATTGAGACAGCAGAGCATGAAAATTACTTTCCCCAGGCTCAAGGGTAGGCAGAAAGAAAAGAAACGGAGAGGATGTGTAAGCCACGTCAGGCCTCACTGCTCTGCAGGAGAGGACGCTTCAGTCTGGGAACTAGAGCAGCGGGAAAAGTCACAGCGAGACATGTCTACAAGGCACTTATGACTGTCATGAGCACTTGATTAACATTGCATTTGATTGCAGTTGTTTGCTAACAAAGGTTTAGCAAAGTGGATTTGCATCATCAAAAGAAATGACATCAATATGACCCCTGGCAACAGAACTTGAAATAAACCTGGTGATTCTGATGGTAGAATTATTTATTTAGAGATACATAGAATATACTGTGCTGCAGGAATGAAGACAGATATGGGATTGCTATGGCCTTTCCCTATATTTAAATATTAATTTATGAGCATTTTCTTTTTCAACTTTTGGCTTGTGGACTACAAAATGAATTTGATTTAACATAGCCTACTTTTTTACACTCATACATGCATTGCAGAAGAAATGGTAATTTTTGTTGATTTTTACTGAAAGCCATGAACAGTTCTATCTCAAATAATTCACTGTGTCTGATAGCTTCTGTGGACTCAAATGATGATGTTGGAAATTACATTTAACTGACTAAACCATGTCCTTTGTCATGCTACACAAAGAGGGAAGTGTAGGGAAACGGGTAAAATCCATGGAATAAGAGAAAAAATGTATTGTTGTGCCTTTGGATGTCAGAATCGGAATGCAAATAATTTTTTTATATAATACTTTCGTCAAAGATGCCATTTGAAGCTAAACGCAGACGTTTAAACAGACAAACTATGGATGAAACCTGCTATGATTACCCTACTTTTAAAGCATAAATTTGATTTAAACAACAGGTCTATATAATATTCATATAGGGGACATATTGTATTAGCCCTACAGTTGAAATACATGCATGAAATACTATTTAAACCTATAACATTTTACATAACATTTAACTATTTTATTTCACAATTCTGCCTTTTTTTCTTGTGAATTCAAGTTTATATCTCCTAGTTCGGACTTTATAACTTGATTCAACTCAACAATTGCGAGTTTGTCAATTCTGAGGGAAAAAAAGACAGAAGTGTGGGATTATAAACTAAAAAGAAAGAATGACGAGTTGATTTTTCTTACCAGAATTGTGAGATATAATCTCGGAATTGCAAGAAAAAAAATCAGAATTTTGAAATATAAACTCAAAATTACATTTTTTATTCTTTTATTCCGTGGCTTGAATAGACTGCTACGTTAAAACTGCCATTTTCTGCCACCAGATAGGCTCCGCCCACAAAAAACATCATCACTGTTTGCAAACACTGAAATTGGTCTATGGACGTCAAACCAACAGCAGTGTCACGTCAAATGGCGCCATTTTTTATTGAACGCGTCGTGAATCTGCAATGGTAATGTTAGATCGGTTTCACGGAAGAAAGAGGGAAATACTGTTTCTTGGACGGCATGGTGAGTTTCTCAACTGTCATATTTCTCTGAATTATGTTAAAGGGGTCATATGATGCGATTTCAATTTTTCCTTCTCTTAGGAGTGTTACAAGTGTTTACATTTCTAAAAAAAAAAGGGTCAATTCCGACTTTACTATGACAATCTGGCACTTCTGAATCAGCTACTGTAAGTATGTTTTGTTATTAGTTTAAGTATTTTGACTGGTTTATATTTTGACTGAGTTTTGCGCAGAGTAACGCGTAGTGTGTGTGAGAGAGGAACAGGGTCACATCACAGGAGAGTGAACAGCCTGTCAGAAATCATAGCATGTCAGCTGTCTTAACCGCGGCTTGTGTACTGCATCATCACTGTGTCTGTCACGCGACTCTGTTGCCCTTTCGGGCTTGAACTGATGGTAAAACTAACGAAATTAGTAACTGTCTTGATATTTACTTTGAAAGCTGAAGCTTGTGATTATGGTAAGGGGCGTTACATTTCTGACGCGTGCTTGTGGTGTTTGGCCAATCACAATGCACTGGGTCAGCTGGCCAATCAGAGCAGACTGCGCTTTCAAAGGAGGGGGCTTTGTTGAAAACGACGTGTTTGAGAGAGGCGGGGCATAGAGGACCTACAATAATGTACAGTATTTGAAAAATAATGTGTTTTTTGAACATAAAGCATGTCAACATATTCTGTTACACCAAATACACAACATAATGATCTTTAAAATAGCATAATATGACCCCTTTAATACTGTCAAAATAATTAACACATCAGAACTTCGTAAAATAGCCTACATATTGGCAATATTTGACACTAAATTAAAACGTTTTGTGTTAGTTTAACAAAATAACCTTATTGGTAATATTTTGAACTTAAATAAATATTGGTGTCAGTGAATTTATTGATATTATATTGAGCTGAATTTACGTACTAATGATAAAAAATTGTACTCGAAGCTACATAGACATAGTCAGCCTCAGACAACAGCATTTAAAGCAATTATATGAACATCTTTGAATACCACCCCTATTTTAATTATTTTAATTGCATTACACTCTTGGTTGTTATACATCTCTTGGTATGTAGTAAGAATCTCAGCTAAACTTCAGTTAGGTTTACAAGATGCTGTGTGCTTGGTCTGTCACCTGCTTACCGCTGTGTGATGTAACCCTTTATCCTTTACTGAGGAGAATTTGTATTCCACGAGTCCTCTGAGGTGTTCTGTAGTTTTTATTGAGAGAGAGAGAGAAAAAATAGAAATCTCACAGGAGCTCATTATGTCAAACCTGATATCTTCATCTCTATCTATGATGCCCCCTGAGGAAATTTTCCACATAGAGTCTCATGTATATTATCTCTATGCTGGTTTGATCCTGTTACGCTGGGATATTATTTGAAGCACAGTTGACTACATCAATATTACATCAGACAAAAAGATCACATACAAAGTCTATCCACATCAAAATGTACCTCTCACTGACAAATATTTGAATGTCACCCTTTTCCGAATTTCCGATTTTTCCTGTCCTACGTACATGTACTCTGTGAATTATAGTGTTTTAAAAACAGATCTGACTGGCATCCAACTGGTTGTTTTTCCTGCTGCTGGTGGCAGGCATGTGGCACAGGTCCTTCAGAGGTTAGGGATCTAAAGAACAGATGAAATGAAACAATTCTCAGAGGAATCCCTGCTAACACCTGCTTTTTCATGCCTGTCCATGCACTGTGGTTAGTGAGAAAACGATACTGCCTGACCAGGCTTGTACCATTGCACCAGACCCATTGTGCTCATTCAGGGGTTCTCAACCTTTTTCAATCCACCAACCTTTGTCCAAAAATGAACGTTCTTGTCATCATTTATTCACCTTCATGTCATTCCAAACTATGACTACTTTTTCTTATTTTTTACAGTTTTGGTCACCATTGAGTTCCGTTGTATTGTCAAAAAAAAACTTCTTATACTTTATGTTCCACAGTTGAAGGAAGGCCATATAAGTTTGAATCAACATTTTTCATGTCCACAATTTTCATTTTTGGGAAAACAATCCTTTTAATTCTTACCTGGCTGCGACCAGTGTAAGAGAGTTTAACGTTGATGAAACAGTCACTTGTCCTATGGATGATTTTTTTACATCCATTGAGGTTGTACATTCATTTTTAATCCTTGCGATAATGATTATTTTGTTTTCTGTGATATATGTGTATTCTACACTGATGCTGCAAATGTAGCTGATTTGTCACTAAGATAATGTTATCCAGCTCTATCTGAATGACCGAGTTTAGGTTTTGTCTAAATTTGAAAAATGCCTTGGAAGCATTTTATAAGAATGTGTTGAAAATTCCAAACCAATCAGTAATGTTTTGCGCAACATCGCCGTTTATCAGCAAAAGTGTATTTGATTATGGCTGCATAATTCCCAGCTTGAGTATTTTCGTTTTGTTAAAAAAAAGTTTTAATTAAGAAACGTAAAAATTATTCTAAAAAAGTAACAATTAATGAAAAGTATAAATATTTCTAGCAGATATAAAAATTCATTGCTACAAATAAAAATAGATAATTTATTTGTTGTACGGCCAGTGAAAATCAGAACTTCTGGTTAAGCAAAATTGTTGAACACTGATAGATCTAACCATTGTCTATGAAAATTACGCTCTTTTAAATAATACAGCATAGAAATCTCCCCCAGCCCCATCAGCATCTTTGGCAAGCCCATGTTTGAGGTATAATTTTATTTTCTATTCCATGCTCTATGATTTGGAACTGGCTGATGGAAATGAGAATGACTGAAAAACAAACTGCATTAGACTATTTGGGCTTGAGTGAATCATAAAGATTTAATAAAGCGTAACCAAGAGCTTCTGTTTTGTGTTTCTGGCTCAGGACAATTCTGGCATATTATATTTCAACATTAGCCTTAGTATCGCATGGAACCACCTTGGTAGTTCCATTGCCTTCACAGGCATTCTCATTACACCGGACCACCTAGCTCTCAAGTGTCGGCAGATAATTGTTTAAGAGCTCTCTCCTTTACCTGACAGACCCATTAATGGTTCCATTTACAGTGAATGGGCCATTCAGCCCAGTCAGAGCTCATAGAATGAGCTAATGCCACACTCTATTCAACAAGTACAGCAGCCCAGTTTAATCTCTGGTGCTGTTGGCCACCAAGTGGTTCCTCTCTTGCCAGAGGAGAAAGTCTTGGACACCTAGACCTGTCAGTTCAGCACTCACTTCAGCCCTTTTCTTCATGTTTTTTCCCCAGAATGCTCAGGAGGGAGGTAAAGGTCGAGCAGAGGCTAATGATGCTTCAACACAGAATGTTCTTTGAGATCAGGCTCCTCGACTCGCAGCCTGGCAGCCTCTGATTATAACAGTGATGGCTGGACAAGCGAAGGAATTGCTGGAATTGTGCTTGTGGAGCAGAACAGAACGTTTGGAGATGTTTCCAGCATGTGATCAGTTAAAGAAGTTTCCCTCCTCGGAAGACCTTGAGTGTGTCGGTGGAGGACAGGTAGGGTGGTGGTGGCTGCTTGTGTTGGTAGAGCTACTGAGGAAGCTCTCAACTGACAGTTCTTGTTTGATATGAAGGGGCTCTTTTAAGTGTTTGAAGTTTGTTTTTGAAGTTGGTCAAGTTCACATATTTACTTTGCAATAAAGTAACTGAGGTTAACCCTTATCGACTGTTTCCTTTTGGAAAGTATAAAATGTTTGTCCCTGAAAAAAAGGAGAGAAAATATATATATTTGAAAAACGCTGCCAACAGCTAAGCGCTTATTATGTTTGAACTTGAAAGTCCTTTATAAAATGCTGTAAGGTCACTTCAGAAAGCATCAAATATTAATCAAAAACCATTCATAAATGTGTTAATTCAAATTCTGGTCAATTCTTTGTATAGTAAAAAAAACCCTACCAACTCTTCCCTTAAATTTCCTATTTTCTTTTTCTTTTTTCCGTGATAAGATGACTTAATTCTCTGCAAACAGCCTTGCTCTTAGCTGCTTTCTCATTTAGTGGTATTTCTGATGAAATAAATGGAGTTAAATTTATTCCGTCAGCCAGTTATATTGTTTTATCACGGAGAGTGTCAGCATAGCTGCAGGCAGTCTATTCCTTTCTGCATAAAATTGCTCTTCAATAAAACTTTTTTTTTTGCAAGACATACTTAAAGCTAAGTTCATTATTCATTATCAAATTCAACCTGAGAATCTGACCTGAGAATGCATGCAACACACACTCTACTGTACTATACTGTAAGATTTACTGTAAAAAAAAATCCGTCAGCCAGTTATATTGTTTTATCACGGAGAGTGTCAGCATAGCTGCAGGCAGTCTATTCCTTTCTGCATAAAATTGCTCTTCAATAAAACTTTTTTTTTTTGCAAGACATACTTAAAGCTAAGTTCATTATTCATTATCAAATTCAACCTGAGAATCTGACCTGAGAATGCATGCAACACACACTCTACTGTACTATACTGTAAGATTTACTGTAAAAAAACATTTTTGTTGGTGTCTTATGCTCACCAGCACTGCATTTATTTGATAAAAAATACAGTTATATGGTGAAATAGTATTACACTTTAAATAAATTTCCATTTTAATATATTGTAAAATGTCATTTTATTCCTTTGATTGTAGTCGAATGTTCGACAGCCATTGCTCCAGTTTTCAGTGTCTTAGATATATCTTCTACAATTAATGGGGCTATGCAAACTAAACAAACCACGAGCCTATTTGAGTGTATTTGAGCCAGAATTTGAGTGTAGTTAGATTGGTCTAAGAAAATTATTGTTGTCTGAAGGACAAATCACAATGCTAATCATTTCATTCCGGTTATGTAAGAATACAGTCTTTGTTGTGAAATATCAAAATAATGATTGAGAAATTATTCTCTCAACTTCTTTCAAATAGATATATGTATGAAAAACGCAGCAGGCTGAGGCATGCAGGTCAAAAATGCATCAAGGCATCCTTTATGTTCTTCATCCCATGTGAAGACAACACCCCTCCCCCCTCTTCTTCATCTTTTGATGAGAAAATAGCGTTCCTTTGTTTTCCTCTTGTATGTGGAACAGCAGTCCTGACAGGCTTCGTCTCTTCTGTATCTCTTATTAACTCATCTGTGACTTTTTTTTATGTACTATCCTACTTCAAAGCATTGCATAGTCAACACTCGTTGAGCGAGAGATGGGATCAATGGCGTCAGTCCACTACCTTGTTTATTACCAAAAATGTCAGCCGGGCGCTTCATCCTCAGCTGTCCTCTAGCATTGGCTGACAAAAATGTCAAATGTATTTACAACAGTCATTACAATTAGATGATTCTTGGTGAAGAGTAGAACATATAGTAGATTTAGTAGGAAAATAACAGTATTTTAAAATAAAGTGTTTTCTTTAACATGTAATTTCAATAAATACTTGCAGCCAAAAAGAACCGTGGCAACTTATGAACAACCCGGGTCCTTGACAGAGACTGAATATTGAGTGAGTGCTGAGATATATAATACTCATATTTTATGGGTTTTGAAAGGTCAGAGCACTTAAAGGTGCACTCAATCATTTTTGTCCTCATTAAAAAGTTTTACAGTTGAAGAAATGATTAGTACTTTTGAAAAATACCTTTAAAATGATACACATGACACTCACATGAGAGGAAGACTCAATACTGCTTTCAACAGCCTACCAATAGCCTTTTTTAAAGAATTATTGTTGCCTTTAATTTGATAGGACAGGAAGCACAGTGAGAGAGAGAGAGAGAGGGGGACGGGATCGGGAAAAATCGCCACCACGAGGCCATTGGCGCTGACATAATAGCTTTTTTGAAAGCTGATTTGTTTTACATGAAGTGAATTGATAATGATATGACTTTCTCTCATATACACAATTATTCAATGGTTTGCGCTCAGTAAGATATTTGGTATGTTATACTTGCCAAGGCTAAATTTATTTGATCAAAGCTACATTGAAAAAAATGATTAATTGAATTTACAAAAAAAAATGTTAAGGTAAGTGGTTGCAATCAATTTATTTTAGCTACATTTAAATACAATTTAGTTGACTAACTTTCAATATGTTTTTTTCGGTAACACACTACAATAAGGTTCATTAGTTAAACATTAGTTAATATATTAACTAACATGAACTAACCATGAGCAATACATTTGTTACTGTATTTACTAATCTACGCTAACGTTAGTTAATAAAAATACAGATGTTCATGTTCACAGTGCATTAACTAATGTTAACAAGATTTTAATAATGTATTAGTAAATGTTGAAATTAACATTAACAAAGATTAATAAACGCTGTATAAGTGCAGTTCATTATTAGTTCATGTTAACTAATGTAGTTAACTAATGAACCTTATTGTAAAGTGTTACCGTTTTTTCAAATGTAGCTAAAATTAATTTTTTGCAACCACTTACCTTAAAAAAATTTGTATCATTTTTTCAGTGTACAGTAACATAGTAATATTGTGCAATATTATTGTAGTTTAAAGTAACTTTTCTGATTTAATATATTTTAAATTATAATTTAGTTATGTGATGCAAAGATGAATTTTAAGAAGCCAGTCACATGATCCTTCAGAAATCATTCCAATATGCTGATATAAGTGATTTCTTATTATCAGTGTTAAAACAGTTGCCTAAAGGGATAGTTCACCCAAAAATGAAAATTCTGTCATCAGTTACTCACCTTCATGTCGTTCCAAACCTGTAAGACCTTCATTCATCTTCGGAACACAAATTAAGATATTTTTGATGAAATCCGAGAGCTTTCTGACCCTGCATAGATAGCAACACAACTGACACATTCAAGGCCCAGAAAGGTAGTAAGGACATTGTTTAAAATAGTCCATGTGACATTAGTGGTTCAACCGTAATTTTATGGAGCTACGAGAATACTTTCTGTGCGCAAAGAAAACAAAAATAATGACTTTTTTCAACAGTTTCTTTTCTTCTGTGTCAGTTTTCGATGCGCGTTCACAACAGTACCAGTATGCACTCATGCATCGTGGTACTCTTGTGAATGCGCGTAGTTTCACGATTTCATCACAAATGTCTGAATCTATGTTCTCAAGATTAACGAAGGTCTTACGGGTTTTGAATGACATGTGGATAAGTAATTAATGACAGAATTTTCATTTTTGGGTGAACTATCCCTTTAATATTTTTGTGGAACCATGATGTTTTTTTTGGTGTCATTCTTTGACGAATAGACAGCTCAATAGGATTTCTATAAAAGGATAAATGTCTTTACTGTCACTTTTGATCAATTTAATGCGTCCTTGCTGAATAAAAGTAGTCATTTCTTTCAAAAGAATATAACTGATAACATACTTTTAAACAGTACTGCGAGTGTGTTATTTAAAAAAAAAAAGTTTCTTTGTAGAACTTTTTAACTTGAGAAAAATTACAGAGCGCACCTTTAAAAACCATGCTAAGTAAATACTGAGTGCGAGCTAATATCCTTAATGTATTTGTCAGAACCCTTCAGCTGAAATAGCTGTCAAACCAGGCAGTTTAAGAACATTTCTGTGCTTTCGCATCTGCTTGCCTCAAATTGGCTTCTGCTTTGCATAAGTGTTCCAGCTCAGCCCACTCTGCACATGCATAATGAGAAACTCTAAAATGCATAAATCGAATTTGTTGCTGCAGTTTTGCATGTGGCATTGGGTTGACAGCAATCCGCGTATGCTTGAGGCCGGTGGTTGTTAGAGTTTCCAGCATCGTCTTACCCAGTAATGCTGAGGGGAAGCTATTTTGCTAGTCTTCAGGGGTCTGTTTTAACAAGAGCAAAGGGACCTCTTTTTGGAGCGAGTTCTCTTATGGCTACTTTGTAAGGATGCCAGTTACTGAAAACTGTGACAGTCTGGATAAACTCAGCATGGAGTCAATATCACCAGTATTTTGTAGTCTGCCTTTTTTTGATTCTGTTTGAGTATTAAAACTTCAGAGTGCTAAACCAAATGTCACCAGAGGCAGGCTCTCAATAGGCCGTTGAATTTCACAGTGATGGGGACATTCTGCTCGGACATTAAAATGCTGAAAGGAATATTTTTATGACATAAACGCACACAAACAAATGCGACACATTCAATCAGAACTGCCTGGTCCCGCCATCATTGCAGTTTCTTGGTAAGCTTGTATAGCAAATAAAACCAGCATGAACATTGATAATTAGAAGAGGGTTTTAATGATAAATGTACCCACATATGCGCATAAATTAACTTTTGTCCTCTGAGTTTTCAGAAATAAATATTTTTGAAATATACTTGCAATTTACTTTATAAAAAAGTATCTTGACTACATCAAACAATATATGACTGTAAAAGTGTTAGTAAACAAATACAGTACAAATACAAAAAAATCTGTTAACTTGATATACAGGAATTTTTTTTTTTGAAAGACCAAACATCTTTATTCTAAAATTAGACCATTTTAACAACAACAAAAATATTTTTTATAAGCAAAAATGCATTTCTTAATAATTTACAGATAAAATTAATTT